CGAAGAAATCCTCAGCGAAATAGATAACCATCGCTATGTGGAACTCATTCGAGAAGACGACATCGGTGATCCAGTTGTATTTTAATGTTATTTAAATAGTTATATTTCATAAATTTATGTAATTTGATTATATTATTTAAATGTTTCATGGTTGTTAGAACAATATTTTTAATGTTATTTTTAATTCAAATTTAACATTAAATGTTTTTAATATACAAATTATAGTATTCGATATTTAACATTAAATTCAACTTAATATTACAATTGTATTCAAAATTAAAAGTTATATTCCAATTATAGTTCACAATACTTAAATTGAAATTAAATTTATCCATACGTATGATTTTATCCTTAACATATACATTAAAACCAACTTATCACTTCATATTTATTCATAAAAACATGTCGATGCTCATTTCATACAATTTCATGCTCACAACCAACTTATCACTTCACATTTATTCAATTTATCCATAACATTTTATCCAATTTATTCAAACTTCACATAACGTTTTATTTTAAGTTATGAACATCCAATTTCACATGAGTGACATAATAGGGAAATGATAACATATTCTCTGACAAAATAATGGAAGGCGCACCCCCGAGAATACGCCTTCACCACTTTGCCAATTCCCTTCAGAAATAATAGGTACTGACATGAATAGTGCCCCCGAGGGACATGAGTGACATAATATGATAATGATAACATATTCTCTGAAAAATAATGGTCAATTCCCTTCAGAAATAATAGTTACTGACATGAATAGTTCCCCTGAGGGACATGAGTGACATAATATGACAATGATAATATATTCTCTGACAAAATAATGGAAGGCGCGCCCCAGGGGAACACGCTTTCACCACTTTGGGTACTGACATGAATAGTGCCCCTGAGGGACATGAGTGACATAATAGGGCAATGATAAAATACACTTATCACAAAATAATGGAAGGCACCCCCCGGGAACGCGCTTTCACCACTTTGGGTACTGATATGAATAGTGCCCCGAGGGACATGACTTACATAATAGGGCAATGATAATATATTCTCTGACAAAATAATCGAATGCGCGCCCCCGGGAACGCGCTTTCACCACTTTAGGTACTGACATGAATAGTTCCCCCGAGGGACATGAGTGACATAATAGGGCAATGATAACATATTCTCTGACAAAATAATCGAAGGTGCGCCCCCGGGAACGCGCTTTCACCACTTTGGGTATTGATATGAATAGTGTCCCCGAGGGACATGAGTAACATAATAGGGCAATGATAATATATTCTCTGACAAAATAATCGAAGGCGCGCCCCCGGGAACGTGCCTTCACATGAATAGTACCCCGATTATAGATACTAATATATGCAACGTATTATGGACTTTCAAAACAAACTTCAGTTCACAAGTTTTCAAATTCTCAAACTCTAAATTTCTCAAAAATATCAATCCTCTATTCTCTGAAAATGAGTCGTCTTTCTGCTGTTGTTTTATATGATAGAGAAATTAAGGAAGCTGAAGAGGGGGTTATTTTTTAGTCAGATTATCCCCTTAACCTTGAAGAGAAACATCACTCTTGAGGAGTTAATCACAAAAATTTCGTTAAAGATTCGTGTAGCTGGCCGGAGAAGACTATCTTCACTTCAGTATAGATTTCCTACTGAACTCTTTCCACTCACGTATATATCATTTCAGCTTTCTAACGATGATGATGTTTCTATGATAGTTGATGCTCATATGGGGAGTTCACAATCTCTTATTGAAATGTATGCCACTTTTATTGAGGTTTGTGCTTCTCGTGGTCTCGCATATTCCTCTCACTTTGGCATTGCATATCATGCTGATCAAGTTGATAGCTCGACGCAACTAATCTGTAATGACTTCACATCATTAATTGTGGATCCAACGCCAGATGCTATGCCATCCAGTTCAATAGGAAGACATTCATCAGCAACTGCTTTTGATCTCAACCCACGTGGCTTCACCAATAATCCATATGGCAACATCTCTTCTACTTCAAGGGGCAGACATTCATCTGCCAATGTTTTCGACTTACATATGGAAATGCCATCGAGACGGCAGTCTATTCACATCCCACATGATACAATGACCTCAAGTTCAAGGGGAGGACACACAAGCGGGAACTTATTTGACCTCAACATTGGATTATCGGAGGAACCCTCATCTCCACCAGAAGAACCTCTTCGGGAGCCAAGTGCAGATGGTGCTGAAACGGGATTATTCGTTGAACCTGACTCATCACAGTTTAACGTACATTCTGATGATGAAGAGGATGACGTTCTAATATATACAACACCAGCCGAACTTCCTGCACATATTTATGGGGCTGATTATGATGCAATGTATGAGCATGAATTTCTGGATCTTCCTGATGTTGGCAACTATGGACTTCAATCAACAGTCAATGACGGTGATTTATATATTGGAATGGAGTTCACATCGAAGGAGGAAACAATGATGGCAATAAAGAGTTGCAATATTCGTAACCCAGTTCAATCCCGAGTTGATCGATCTAACACAGAGAAATATGTTTGTTACTGAATCCAACGTGACAACGAATGTCAATGGATGGTTCGTGTATCAAATATGAAGAGGAAGAACAACTTATGGGAACTAACCAGATACAACGGTCCTCATACGTGTTGTGCAAGAGGTATAAACCAGGATCATCCCAACTTGGACTCCAACATTATTTGCCAAGCAATCATGCCCATTGTGAAGCAAAGCTCTCATATAGATGTTGCAGTGTTGATTTCTGCTATACAGTCACAATATGGGTACACCGTCTCATATAAAAAAGCTTGGTTGGGAAAACAGAATGCCATTTGTAAACTTCATGGCGAATGAGATTCATCTTACAACGAATTGTCCAGTTGGTTTCATGTTGTGCAAAGACTCAATTCTGGGACAATTGTTGAGTTCGAAACTCAACATCATTACGTGAATGATTGAGTGGTTCGCGATCGCTGCCAATTCTACCTTGTCTTTTGGACTTACCCTCAGTGTATTAATGCAGTCAAGTACTGTAAACCAGTTGTCCAAATTGATGGTACTTTCTTGTATGAGAAATACAAGCAAGTTTTATTATTGGCTGTGGTCCAAGATGAAAACCGCAATATTCTTCTCGTTGCGTTTGCCCTCGTTCAAGGAGAAGACACTGAGTCTTGGGCTTTTTTCCTTAAAAAGTTACGTTTACATGTTGTCACCAGGGAATGAGTATGCATTATTTCAGACCGAGGAGCCGGGATAAAAACAACAATGGACTCTTAGGGTACAATGTATAGACCTCCACATGTTAAACATCGTTATTGTGTCCGTCATATTGCTGCAAACTATTACGGAAAATACAAGAAGAACGATGAGCGTCAATTAGTCGTGCGGATGGGTATGTTACTTTTCCCCAATTTTTCTATCATTTTCGTACTACTTATTTACACTTCATATTAACTATTACATATTCCTAATGGCTTAGGTTACGAGCTCTTACCTCAAAGGTTTGAGTCGATGCTACAAGAGTTGTTTGGCAAAAATAAGAAGGGGTGCGAGTACATTATGGACATCAGTAAATAAATGTGGACAAATGTGTATGACGGGGGGTATCGCTATGGTCATATGACAACAAACTTGGCTGAAGCAATAAATTCAACCTTAAAGGGGACGCGTCATTTACCAGTCACGGCATTGGTCAAAACGACTTATTTTCGTTTGGGTCAACTCTTTGCAGAGTTCGGTGGACAAGCTCTTACTTGGATACAAAACGGCCATATTTACTACCCAAGACTAATAACTGATTTACAGAAAAAAGTGGCTGCATCAAATGGGATGTTGGTTACAAATTTTTCTCGCACCCGTGAATTGTTTCGTGTAACCGAAATGGCACGTCCGTTGCAAGGGATTGAAGCTAACTCTTTCAGAGTTAATCTGCATGAGAGGTGGTGCGATTGTGGTTTCTTTCAAGCACTCAAATATCCATGCTCTCATGTCATTGCAGCTTGCTCACATTTGCTTTTGGACTACAAAAATTATGTTGATCCCGTATACCAACTTTCACAAGTATTCAAGGTATATGAATTTGAGTTTCCGCCCATAGGAAACGAAAGAGACCCAGATGAGATTCAAACTTGGCTTACAATTGTACCAGATCTATTGCTATTGAGGGACTCAGGTTGTCCAAAATATACTAGAATACATTGTGATATGGATATTCGGGAGAAGTCAACAGAACAAAAACGATGTGGGCATTGTAAAAACATCGGACACAATAGGAAAAAAATGTACAGCTCTATTATCATCACATAACCGTTAACCCTTATGTAACCTAATATTCTATTTAAATGAATGTTTTTGTTTTTAATATTTAAATGTAATTGTATTTTCTATAATTTCTTAATGTATAATAATAATAACAGATAAAATGTGTAATTATACTAATTTTATTAACTTATGCATCAATATTTTGGTTAAATAATAATAACAGATGATTAGATTGATAATATTTGAATAATTAAGTGATAAAAAATTAATAGATCGATAATCAAAATAAAAAATAATAATATAATCATACATGTAATATAATAATTTTATACATTTTTCATATAACTACAATAAAATAAAAACTAGTTTTTATCTATTGTTCTATCTGATTAATGTGGATAATACACTCCACCTTTAACACACATTAAAAAAATACATTCGATAATTATTAAATTATAACCGAAACAATTTATATAATATATTACTAATTTATAATAACAATAAAATAAAATTTTTATTATTAAAAAAAATATCACCGTGATAACTGAATCAGTAAAACTCCGTGAAGATGTATCTCCGAAAATACGCCGTTCTCACGTGACATCCAACTTAATATAAAATAGATAAAATATGTCTTCGGATGCACCTTTCGTCACCTCAGTCTTTAAAAAATATAAACAAATTGTATTAAAAAAAAGTATTCATTAAACGGTATCAGTTTGATTACTTAGCCCATGGCTCGCCTGTCTTCCAATTTATCAGAAGATTCAGAATTTTCCTCGGGTGTAGCTCTCTGCCTGGTCTTGGAATCATCATCACCATTGCGAATTCTTTCTCTTTCCCGCCCATTATCATCACCATCATGAATTCTTTCTCTTTCATGCCTTTTATCCATGTAGGAACGCTTGTCATCTTCTTCATCAGATGATCTAGAACGTTCTTCTCTCTTCCTATCCTTACCACCACCATGAATTCTCTCACTTTTCCTCCTTCCATCTCCATTGGCATGCTTACCATCTTCACCAGATCTAGAACTTTCTTCTCTCGGCTTATCCTTAGAACTATCATCATCATGAATTATCTCACTTTCTCGCCTCCCATCTCTAGCACGCCTTTTTCCATCAAAAGATCCAGAATTTTTTCTTTGCTGTTCATCCCCATCATCATGATTTCTTCCTCTTTCTCTCCCACTTTCTCGTCTTCCCTTTCTCTATCTGACCTAGAATACATATTGCCACGATTTCCATGTTCCCTACTCTCATCTCTCGGATCATCGTCACTCGATTCACTGAATCCTCTACCCGTACTTTAAAAGTCACAAATCAATTAAAAAAAAGGCACCTTCCAGATTCCCTTCCGTCAGCAAACTGTTCTTGAAAACCAAAATAAATCGGATCTACAGAAACTCGAAACGCTTTGACCAGAGAAACATGAATAAAGGTGGAAAGTAAGAGCGAGGTGAGGCTGACCCGACTCGGTGTTGCAACTCGCAAGAGTTCAAACTTAAATCAGAGAGCAGTGATAGAGGTAAAAAAGATGCAATTGTCGTAAATAGAGCAACTTCGAACCAGTGCGCTTCAGCGAAGAGGAAGAAGAAGACGGCGGAGCAAGAAAATATCCGATGAGAATGAAGATTTTTTATGACCAATGCAAAGAAATTTATTTTGAAGGGTTAACTACACGGTTCATCACTTATCTTTTAGGTTTTTCCACTTTTGGTTACTGATTTCAAAATTTATAAAATATGATCACTTACATTTTTATTTAAACAATATTTGGTTATTTACGATTTTATTTAATTAAGACGAGATCATCCGAGTTAATTGTCTTTAAAAAATTATGAATTGAGTACTCGTGACCCGAATTATATATAATATAATTTTATATATTAATTTAAAATATTTTTATATCAATTTATTAAATATATTTTATTATTAATTTAATTTTAAAAAAATATTTTTATTTTCATTTCAAAATATATAATTTATTTTAATTTATTAAAAATATAATTAAATTAAAAATATATATATAAATAACATGAATTAAATATATAAATATATTAAAATATTTAATTACTGTTAATAATAATTAACTCAGGGTAAATATATCTTAATTTAAAAAACATAAGTACTCATATCTTATTAATTTTAAAAAGGTGAAAAAATCAATAAAACTAAAACCTATGTGATACCAAAGTTAACCCTACTTTTAAACATAAACCCTAATTTTGATAGACTGTTGGGCCTCTCTTTACAATTACAGCGTGGTACCAAAGTTAATCGGAGTTGTCTCAGGAAAGGCGAACTAATATACGATTAATATAAGGTGTTATCGGATACATTAAAAAATATTTGATAAATTTAGTTTAGCGCTACCGAAAATATCGAGTAATAATAATGTAATAGGTGGAAATCATTAAGAAATATTAAAAAATTTGGCAACCGGCAAACTTAGCTTGTCGGTTTGTGTCGATACTTTATGAAAATATATTGATCTATAATAATATAACAGGTAAAAAAATGACAAAACCGGTCTAAAAATGACAAAACATGTAAAGCGCTACCGGATATATTGAAAGTGTCGATACTTTATAAAAATGTATCGATCCATAACAATATAACAGGTAAAAAATGACAAAACCGGTCTATAAATGACAAAACAGGTAAAGCGCTACCGGATATATTGAAAGTGTCGATACTTTATAAAAATATATTGATCCATAACAATATAACAGGTAAAAAAATGACAAAACCGGTCTATAAATGACAAAACATGTAAAGCGCTACCGGATATATTGAAAGTGTCGATACTTTATAAAAATATATCGATCCATAACAATATAACAGGTAAACAAATGACAAAACCGGTCTATAAATGACAAAACAGGTCAAACGCTACCGGATATGTTGATAGTGTCGATACTTTATTATAAGTATCGACACTTTTAGAATTTAAAAGAGAAGAAGTTATAGTGCTAATAAAGTGTCGATACTTTATAAAAAAGTATCGATCCATAACAATATAACATGTAAAAATATGACAAAACCGGTATCGAAATGACAAAACTGGTAAAGAGCTACCGGATATGTTGAAAGTGTCGATACTTTATTATAAGTATCGATACTTTTGGAATTTAAAAGAAAAAATGTTATAGCGTTAATAAAGTGTCGATACTTTATAAAAATATATCGATCCATAACAATATAACATGTAAAAATATGACAAAATCGGTCTCGAAATGACAAAACCGATAATAAAAAAATGTATTTGTGTGGTCATTTTTATTTCAGATTTTTTATTTTTTAATACAAAAAGTTGGATATTTTAAGCAAAACGATGTGCACGCATAAAGTATCGATACATTTAAAATTGTATCAATCCCAAAAACATCAAAACCGATAATTATAATATAATAGGTAATTTTGCAATGTTATCGGTGTAAATATACATGTTAAGTTAGAAAATAGGTCAATATAAGCGCTACATATTATATTATATAAGCGCTACCTAATATATCATTGTACTTAATAATATTTTCGATTAAATGATATAACATAACCGATCTAAATTTTAATCGATCACTTATTTAACAAATCACATAATTTTTAACTTTTTTTAAGCGCTGTATAGCAGAACCGCCCATCAATTTTGTGAAACTAAAAATAACAAAATGGCAGCGAAGAGAGAGAATGGATGACTTTCCGAAGCTTAAATAAAAAAAAAATGTAATATTCCGATAATAATAATGTAAGAAAAATTCTAGAATGAAAGAATATATGATATTTTTCTTTAGTTTTATACGGTTAAATTTATAAATGATTTTTATTAAAAATTTAAAAATAAATTGTACGAATTAAAAGATCTCAATAGTTAAAAGGAATATTATTATTTCTAGAGGTTATAGGTACACACATTAAGAAAGTGTAGATACTCGGTTTATCCAGGATTAAGTTGGAGCCCTGGAGAATCTAGCACGTGCCCAAACCAATTAGAAGCCCAACATGGAAATCAAAGACAGTTATGAGAAGGGTTAGTAAGTAATTATCAAGAGGGGTCGGTTTTTTTTAACTCCTAGAAACCACTATAAGCCACAATCAACCACTAGAAACAAGGGGGAGAGGTTACAAAGCAAAAGAAAAAGAAAAAAAGAGATTAGAAAAAAAGGGACCACCAACAGAGATTAGAAAAAGAGGAGACCAACGAAAAATTTGAAAAGAAAAGCATTTGAGAAGAGAGGAGAATACGAGCAAAAAAACCTTATTAATTTCGGCAATTTCACAGTGTAAAGGGGATGCGAAAAGGAATCATAGTGTAATCTCACGATTCAAAAATAAAGAAAGCAATAGAGGTACATGTTCTTCGAGAAATTCTCTCTCAGTTCTTTATTTTCCAGTCGTATTTTTTCATTTTTTTGTGTGTATGCGATCGTTATTTAAAACTACAATTTGAGAGGGATTAGGATTTACCTAGACTTCTTGAACATAAATGGGGTCTTGTTGACTCTATTTGTTCTTTGTGTGGTTCCATTGTCAAGGAAAAAAGACGAGATTTAGTTTAACAAAATTAAAATAAAATAGAAGGGAGGGAGTGGTTGTTTACCTTTGAAAAGAGTAGTTCTCGCCATTGGGAATGGTTCACCGGAACTTTAGGCCGTTCATGTCAAGGTTAGATTCCTTACCAGTTCGTTTAAGAGAGCAAGTTGAGCGTGGGTGAGGCAATGCCTTGCGTGGAAGAAAGGGAAAGTGGAGAAGGGTACTGGAAGTGGCCATGTTCTTTAGTTTTAACAAATAATTTAGGTTTTTTAAGTTAGGTTATATATTATATGTTTTGGGTAAATTAGGGTCTAGTCATTGTAACTTTAGGTGTAAACTATCTTTAAATCCTCCTAAGTATAACGTTTTTTATAATTTAGTTACCTGTAGGGCTTGATTTTTGATTTTTTTTTTAATTTGTCTCAACTTAGATATTTTCCAATTTTTGTTTTAGTTACTATTTTGAGTTATTTAGGGTTAAGTTCCTTATATTTATGTTCGTTTTTATTTAATTCTTTGTTTAAATTTTTAGTCAGGATGTTTAATTTTACGTATGTTTAAATTTAGTCATTGCTTTAATAGGGATATATATATTTTTTAAAATTTATAGTTTAGTATGCCATATTTATTTTTTATATTTGACTCACATTTGTACATTATAGGTTAATATGCATGGTTATAAAAATTAATTTTTATTTAAAATAACAAATAATTTTGGGTTCCCAATCACACCCTAATCAAAGATTGGTGGCGACTCTTTGAACTGTATTTTTTTCCGATCGTAAAGGAAATCCAAAATTTTTCGAAACGAGAGGTTTTTAAATCGCATTTGTTTTTAAATTAAAAATCAGTTGAAAGAGGTAAATTAAAAATTAATGTGGTTTTTAAAATCTCACATTTTCACCTTTAAAAAAATCGTTTCGACAGCTTGGCGACTCTGCTGGGGACCTTTTTTTTAGAGAGTCAGGCCGATAGTCGATTAATTAATTGTCTTTGCAATTGAAAGTTATAAATTCATTTTAATTTGGTTTTTGATCCCTTGTTTGGTTTTTAATAAGTTTTGTTTGTATTTTGGTTTTTTAATTTAATTCGATTAACAATTAAATAGTTGTACTGATCTGTTTGCTAATGGTTTCAGAATAATTGTGTGTTTTGGGATTTGATTTTCAGTGTTTTTATTGTTTGTTTTTCGCTTTTCCTCACACACTGCACAGCTGCATTTTCATGACATGAGCTAAAACCCCGCTCCGTCCAAATTAAGTAGGAGCGAGAGACTATGCCCTCGTGTGGTTTTCACCTCCGCATGGGATAGTGGATTGCTCCTGGAGCTCACGCCTTATGGTCCTCGTGATGGTAATCACCTCCGTATGGACATAAGGAGGTGTGTTCCCTCGAAATTGAACTCGATCCCCTAAAGCCTGTGATGGGACAGGATTGAGGGTTCGACAGCCCAAGGGGGCACCGACAAGGACAATTCGAGAACCTATTACTTTAGAACCGAACCCAGCATATAGTGAACATAGAGCCCGAACTTAGGTCGAGCCTAACCCGAACCTTAAGAGTCCCATGAGAAGGGTACACAAGGAAAAGCTTTTTGAGTCATTTATTTTCACTTTTCGAATAAATGCATGCGAACTAGAAATCATGCGGTGAGGTTTATTTGTCAAGCAAGCATGTGAATTAGATATTATGCGGTTAGGGTTTTAATGTTCAAACAAAGCATGGGGGTAGATATCATGTTGGGTAGGATCTACTAAAACATGATTGGGTAGCCAACATGTAAGGGTAGGTTTTATTTAATGATTATGATATTTATTATCTTGTTGTTGATATTATGTGTGCTAACCCATTTTTTTTTCTATGTCTATTTTATTTTGATTTTATTGCATTCGCATCTTCATGTCATCACAAGGTGTTAATTCGCAAGTGATTGACTAATAAGAAGGCTGGTCATACTGAAACAAGAAATTCTTAACCATGTAGTCAAAATCAGGAGGTTCAAAGATATTCAGATGATCCATGAAGAAGCACATCCGATGAATGAAGAAATCTGAAGCTGATTGAAGACTTCCTTTAAAAGTGTGAAGGCCAAGATACCCTCAGAAGATAGATACAGTTACACCAAGGACAAGAAGACCCTTCACAAAGACATGAAGATCATTTCGTATTGAAAGTAAAAATAGAGACCTCGGGATTCAATTTAAGGACATCTGGCGTCGTCAAAGGTGATAAAGTACGCCGACAACTTTGGGTACAATATTAGATTCCATGAAGAGTACGGCTCAAGGAAATGAAGAAATGAAGAATCACATTTATATTATGACTACATGGTGTACTGAATTCTTGTTGTCTAAATGAAGGTTGTTCTATGGTGGTCACTCTTGGAATTAACACCTTGTGGATTTGCATTTGCATTCTTATTAGCATTAATTTATTTATTTTGCTATTGTTGCTTGTTGTCATTTTGTTATCTCATTTGTACTAACTTGTTTCTATGTTGTTTTTTCTGTTTGTCCGAATTGCATGATCATAACATATTCAAAAGGTGTTGATTTGTGAGTGTTCATCATAGTAAAAGGTTTTCATGACGAACAAGGGGTTTCGTGATCAAACAGACTATAACACAGTCGGGAAATGGCATCCTGAGAAAGCTTCGAAAATAATAGAGAGTTGCGCACATAAAGATCATATGTCTGATGAAGAACACAATGAGATAAGAGAGATAAAAGAGCAAATGTCCAAGATGATGGATAGAATAGATATTTTATCCAAAGGAAGAGAGACTTCTACCAAAGAAAAGAAAGAACTCAATGAAAACAATCTCGAGGTGTCAGATACGCAAGGGACTACTTTAGAACCTGCTGATTCTAGCCAAAATGAGAAACCACGCACAATCATTATTCGTATCAACAAGTTGTTTGGAAATGCCAAGGAAATAGTGGCAACTATAGAAGTTCAGAAGGATGAAAAGAAGACATGCAGTCCAAACTCGTTGGTGTTTGATAGTCTATTCCCAATATCAGGGGAAATAAAACTGGAAACTCCAATTCAACCCAAGTTAAGAGATGGATCTCGTTGTGATTCCATCCCAATATCATATAAGGAATTTTATGATGAACTATTAGAAGCCCGAGAAGTGGCCCCGCATTATGTGAAACCTTTGCAGCCTCCATATCCAAGTTGGTATGACGTCAACGTTCGTTGTGAATATCATGCTGGGATTCAAGGACATTCTATTAAGAATTGTTCTACCTTCAAACGTCGAGTCCAACTTCTACTAGATCATGGAGTATTGGAGTTTGAATTGAAAGGACAACCTAGTTTGGTAACATATTATCCTGTTGGATTCGAACCAAAAGTGACCAAAGGTAAGGGTATTAGTGAGGACATCCAAGAAGAAGATTGTTTGCCAAAGTACGGAGCTCAGATTCGTCATTTAAAAAGTGAAAATGATAAATTAAGTAGAGAGATAGAAGCTATGCAGGATGTTTTTCAAATGATCAATCAAGCTTTTAAATTTACTGGTATAGGAAATGTCCCAAAGGATTGGATAATAGGGGTCGCTAAATTGAAGAATGACGCTGAACAGTGGAGAAAGAATTGCAAGGTGCACGAAGGTCGAGCCGAGAAGTTTTCTCATGATTTACAAATTGCAGAAAAAAGACACAATATAGTTGTTGATAATTTGGGAAGATATCAGACCGAGAATCAGATGTTGAATAAGTCTATTGCCAATATGGAAATCTCATATCAGCGCCATAAGCGGGAGACTGACGCTGAGTTAGAAGCCGTTAGAGCGAAGAACGAGAAGTTGATAAAGATTGTAGATGATTGCAGTGATCTTATACAAGAGCTTCATAACCACAATGACTTTCTTACAAGGAAGATTCAACAGCAGTGTCTACAGCTCCGAGAAACGGTACTCAAGATAGAGAAAAGGGACAAAGTCATGAAAGAAGCTATGACCCAAGCAAGCAATGTGGCTCACAAATGGGTTGATTTAGCTGGCTTTGCAAGAGAATTGAAACAGATTGACAACTCGACCCCCGAGCATGAGTGGAAATTAAATTGGCTTTTGAAGGAGATAGAAAAGTTCAGAGCGAAAGCTGTCCGTTATATGTAAAGTTTGTTTGATGTATCGAGACCTTTGTGTTCAATGAAAGTTGTTTTAAGATGGTCACTCTGGAATGACACCTTTTGCATTTGCATTTGGCATTTGCATTTGCATTACATGTATTTATTTAAGCATTTTACATGCATTAATTATAAAAACACAGAAATAATTAATGGAAGGTTATGTGACAATAATAACAAGATCATTCATTCATACTACTTCCTCATCATCATGAACAAGTAAATGGAAACAATGGAGCAATCTCATAAGGGATCACAAGATCAGTTGCAAGAGCAGTTAGTCGGGTCACAACAAGATACGGGGAATCAAGCATCGGGTTCTTTACAAGGCGTATCGAATCAAATGATCCAGGTACTGGTACCACAGGCTGCTAGTAAAGAGAAAATAGAGGATAAAGGAAATCAATCTCATCAGATTGGTACATCAAGAGTGATAATTTGCCCTGGAGCGTCTAACTCAGACCTAGGGATGAGCCTCGTCAATTTTGAGCAATTTGAAGACAAATTCAGGTGGTTGAATGAAGCCATTGAAGATATGAAGATTGTTAATGCCCCTCACAAGGAGTTAGAAGCTAGAGAACTTAGTTTGGTCCCTGATTTGGTTATCCCACATGAATTTAGGGTGCCCAATTTTGAAAAATATGATGGCACTAGTTGTCCCATAATTCATCTGAAGATGTTTTGTAGAAAGATGGAAGGGTACCTAAATAATGACAATCTGTTGATTCATTACTTCCATGATAGTCTTGCTGGGCTAGCTATAGTATGGTATAACCGTTTGAACAAAGAACAGATCAAGACATGGGTCAACCTAGCTGATGCTTTTCTGGGACAATATCAATATGTTAAAGGCTTAGCCCCAAAACGTCATGACCTCCAAAGAATAAGAATGAAAGCTACTGAGAGCTTTAAAGAATATGCCCTAAGATGGAGAGGAGTGGCAGCACAAGTTCAACCTCCTTTGTTAGAAGAAGAAATATCATATATGTTTCACGATTCTCTTCCAGCTCCTTTCTTTGAGTTAATGATGGGAAAGTCGATGAATAACTTCAAGGATCTTATGACAGCTGGAGAGTTAATTGAGGATGCAATCAGCAAAGGAA